ACCTGTCCAAAATAATAGACACAGGATACAGGTACGGCAGCCGTATGCAAAATGTCAATTCTATTAACAGGGCAGCATAAGGTGGGCGGTCTATACAATGATTTACTAAAATGGCCTTCTTTCTGACTATCCTAACCTAACCTAACTTAACCAAACCAAACGTAAGTAACCTACTGTAACGTAACCTACCTAACCATTAATACGTGGCTATCATACCTATCTCGTGTGATTTTTACGTACGGCTTGTCCTACCTTATATCCACTAAGAAAAAATACATATTTTGACCGACTGCCGTATTATAAAAATATATGGCCCCCCCCCCCCCTTTTTTTGAAGGGCTCCCATACCTGTTTTGTTATTATAAACATCACACACTAAAAAAGATCCAATTCAATGGGGACCTAATTTCGAAGAAACCGAATCTTAATGATTAGAACGAGACTCGGTATAGGACAGAGGCCATCCTGGTATTTACCTCTGTACAGCCACGTCAACACTTCATCACAAAGGTATTGACGAACAGCCTGGCATTAATACCAAGTTTAAAACATCGTTTTATATATGTTATTATAGATTATCGATATGAAGTCAGAGATGGTTATTAAGGAATGAAGAAAATCGATAAAAATATTAGAACAACTCTTACCTGCTTCCACCTTGTCCGCCATTTAATTTTGTAAGGCTGCTATGGTAAATGTTCGAAAATTGCCGCGAACGACGCCACAAAATCATGTATTTTTTTAGATTAAAGGTAGATGACATAAACCAACAAAACAACATTTAATCTACTCAAAACCTATTTTAGAATCATCAAGTTATTTCCAATCAAGAAGGGTTAAGCTTATTTGTGTCTTATAAAAAAAATATATGATTCAGCAATTATGTTCGAAATATATTTTAACATTGTATGATTTACAGAGCCCAAGGAATGTTTGCGTCAGGCCTATTGGACAGCCTTTCCTCTTCAATGTTTTTATGCTGTACGTATAGTTTCTAGGGTGGCAGAGGCAAAGATGATTTCTTATTTTCTCTATCATCAATCATTCGGAGAGTCGTGTCCACAGAGGAATACATACAAATGCCATGAACAGACCGCTCAATGCGATACTGAATAGTTTTAAAATTAGAGTTAGTTATTTTACCTGGCTGGATGTGCATTTTACATAAATATCCTCATTATCAAATATATAAGGAAACTGGCATAAACATGCTGAATCAAAGTACATTTGTATGACTATTTTACTGTATTAACATTTATCTATTGTATATAGCTATCGAAATCATAACAAAAATAGTTCAAGGAAAACAATACTTAATAATCTAAACGACCTAATATAAAAGGAAGTTAACTTCAATGTGATGAAAAGGCTGCTGAAAGGATATATATGGCGAAGACTGTTGTGCGGGTCAGAACCATAGACACTTTCACCAGACACTAGAAACAGGTTAGAGGCCGTTGAAATGTGGTGTTGTAGACGAATGTTAAGAATAAGTTACAACTGTTACATTAACGTGTAATTAGGGATGAGGGGATATCAGAAACATTAATGGGTTAAGTTGAGGCAAGGAAATCCAGGGAAATGCATATACTCGGATAGATGAATGGAATTAAGAATTGAGAAACCACGGAGATAAAATATCTAACATACCCTGACCAGAGAAACCACAAGGACCTGACCTAACCTCCTAATCCAACAAGATAAAACAAACGAACAAATTAACCTGAATAACCAAACCTGAAATCGAAAAGTAAAAAACAAATGAAAATATAAATATCGGAGTAAAACACTAAAGTAAAGCATTTATATTACTACTTTTGCTCTATCTTCCTATATACAAATCACTGTAGAGCTCCGTAATTGCCCTTTACAGAATTTTAACTGATTACTGTATTTTAAATCATTTAAGTTGTATTTATTAATTATAGTGTACTAAGTGTATTCAAAATTTTAATATAGATCGAAATATGCATATTTTCAGCAGTCTTACTGGTTCCATAAAAGAAAATGTTGTTATAGAAAACAATAGGTTACGAGGATAACTGAAGTAGATGATTCGGTAGATGGTGTTGATAAAATATTGTACTGGTAGATGGTCTACAATAATTGTTTTCGTGAACTGTTTACCAGCTTACACTATACATAAAACAATGAACGTATAACGTACACAGATAGTACAGGAATATAAACACTGTATACATATAGTGCATATATACTAACTACATAAACCATGGAGGTATATAAAATTTACACTGACTGTGCTGATATACAAGCATTGTACTGTACGGTGCACAAGACAGTGAATGTATACAGATGTATACAAACAATGTAAATACTACATAGCCAGTGCATTTATACAAAATACATAGACGGTGCAGGAAGTAAACAATGCACATAAAACAGTGCAGGTGTACAGACCTTGATAAACGGTACTAGTGCATCTTTTTAAGCAAGAATAACTCAAGAAAGCCACGAAGGTATTTTCATCTCAAATTATATACAGGTTTACCACTGTGACTTGGATTATATCTTTACTGTAAGTTTTGTAACCAGCTGTACTATGCTGTTACAGAAGCCAGGCAGGGCACGGTGTCAGAGATAGCAAATTCAGCTGTTCTTAAGATATTCATTATTGATATCATAAAGGTAACATAGCCTTTCATTGTCAAATATTAGCACATCTTTGTTTTGGGCAAGTCACTAAGCGCGTGTGATCAAGTCATGTCGGGGGGGGGGGCGGGGGTTGGAGTATCACTCGGGGGGAAAAAGGAAAAAAAATCTCGGGGAATAAAAATCGTACACATTGAAATTCTCTAAATAAATTTACGTTAGGTTATTTTTTTACGGTAATTATTTCCCCGGTGGCTTTTTTCCCCTATGACCTTTTCTGTGATTTTTTCCCCAGTCTTTCTATTTGATGTTTTTCCTGTCACTGTTTTTCCTACGCTCGGTCAATGCCAATGTCCTCCCAACCTTGGTCGCCTCAAGCTCTTGCGGTTAAGTGAAGGTAAGGTTAGTCTCTGTATATTTCTAATAATATAGAAAATAGTCTCTTTCTCTAATATATAAAAGTATATAATGTCCAGGTAATATATCATATTAAACTTTCTTAATTGGTTTAAATGTTATCATTGTCTTGACTTTACATAGTAAATATATAACGGGATATCGAAATTGATAGTGTGATGTGCTGTTGTGGTAATGTGCTGTGTTGTGATGTGCTGTGTTGGAGTGGTGTGCTGTGTTGTGATGTGCTGTGTTGGAGTGGTGTGCTGTGTTGTGGTGATGTGCTGTGTTATGGTGATGTGCTGTGATGCCCAATTAGTAGTGAGTATTTTCCAATCTACACAATTTTCTGTTCATATATCAGACATAATCTATATCAATACCCATTCATATATAATATATAATTTATGGTCTAGCCCAGTAATATATCGTATAAAAATGACAAACACTCAACAAATTATGATATATTTAATCCTATACAACGATCTAGCGTAAATAGATTCACCTGGAGATTAGACACCCAGGTTATTTCACAATGTATTTACCCGCCTCCAGTCATTTATTGTCAATCTGTCAACACTTCTGGGTAGCCGCTAAATAGACGTAAGGAGACAGGAGTTCTGACCTCATCAGACAAGTTAGTATTACCGACGCTGGCACCAGGTTACAGGGGTGGGGTGGTGTAGTTGACCACAGGTGTTTGGTTCCGTTGCATATTAACCACACAAAGGAATTAAACATCAGCATAATCGTGGACAACTTTGCCATCAAGGAGCCCAAATGGATGCTGATATATACAGAACACAAAAAATCGTTGATTGAAGGTTTATCATGCAAGATTATTTTTTTTTTGGGGTAAATTAACTGACACTGTACAGTTTTCTGAGATGTACTTTAGGCCAAGATAGTCTTTTTGTTTTTTCAACTGGAAGGTCAATTGTCGAATCCTCTCTTTTAACGTTAATATTTCAATCAATTTCAATTAAGGAACAAAGAAGAATTGAATTGCGAGTGTTTAAAATAGAAACTACATCAAATCTTTTTATATAAAGGCAACATCAAGGTGAAATAGGTTGAGATACTACAGGTAAGAGCATTAAGACGACAGGTTATCTAATGAGGGTGCGGGGGCAGGTCAGGTCAAGTTGATTTTTGTTATCTCTTGTTTTTCTGTAGTTATTTTGCTGTAGAATAGACATAATATCTACAGAATGCATATAATTTGAATGGCCTGTAGACTAAACGGAATACTGTAGTCGCTATTTAGAGAGTTGACACAATGGAAAGTAAAGGCTACTGTAGTGTGGTTAACAGTAAGTCGATTTAACCAAGGATAGTCCAAGAAGTTAGGTTGGATTAGGTTAGTTCGGGTGTTTAATCATCGAGTGAAATTAGTTGAGATGCTTGTCTTCAGATGACCCGTTAAAAGTTTATTTCATGAAGTTGTCATGAGTTGAATTAATTAGTTGATGGGAGTTGTGTTGACCGTGTGAGAAGCCAGCAAGCCAGAAGCCGGATTGAACATATTCCCTGACTGACATGTGATAAACCCCCCTTGTGGTACCCCCCGATGATCACCCCACAGTAAAAGAACCATCCTCTTGGTGCCTAACATACAAAACACATCATTCTACTGCTGGGTCTTGGTGATGTTCCCGCCGCAATAATTTCTGATTACGTGCTACCACACAGTGCCATGTTGCCCAAGGAATAAGTGGTAAGTTTTGTAGTAGAAACGTGGCAACGGTGTAAGCTCTGCCAACCACAACGAAGCGAAGTTCCGTTGTTGGCCGTATGGCAGGAACAACAATCACTGCTGCTCTAGGCCGGTCCTCTACCATGATATGCTTACACAAGTTCCTTGAAAAATGTCTAAATAAGTTTTTGAGTCGATGGGAGATCAGTGGGTAGAAGATGCGAGGGATATTGAGGTGTGAGAGGAGAGGGTGGATGAAGCGGGAAGGGTGGCAGCGCCGCACCGCGTGAGGGCCCGAATCCTAGACATCAGTTGGGTGAGAGCCGCCAGTGAGAGAGGGTCCCTATGTCACGTTATGTCGGCCCACGCCGCAAACTCGCGGCTGGCCAATAGTTTTTCAGTGCAAACTCATGCTACTGCCCGGTCTCCGCCTATAGAGACCGGTAATGCAGCGGATAATAGTGTATACAGTGGAAAACGCGATGGTAGTGCTTTAGGGCCGCGCGACCCCTTGGCCTCAGCGCCATGTAACGGAGGGAGGCCCAGCGCGCCCCCTTGCAGTGCAACAACTGCTACCAGTGCCAAAAGTGTAAGCCCTACTAGTGGTGTTAGTGCCAGTGATCACACAGTGAGCAAAAATGCCCACTCAAGCGCAACTTCTGCACACCATAGCAGTGCCTACAGTGATAACAACACGATTACCTCTTTTAAACCCAAGGATGCCAATAACAGTGAAGGTTCTAATGGTGGTGTAAATGTGTTACACGGTGCACGAAGTCATAATTTGAGCAGTTTGGGAGAGCGTTCCTCCCCTGCTAGTGTGAGGAGGAGTGGTGAGAGCGGCAGGCAGAGCAGGATGGACACCACCAGCTTCAGACTACGGCTGAGGAAGGGTGGTGGAGAAGGCGTCACCAAGAAGGGACCCCTGGTAAGTGACCCTCTTCCTCCTTCTCACTTTACCGTTGTGGTTAATATAATTTACTCTGGTGTACCTCAAGTATAATATTACCACTATACTGGCAGCGTGTTCCCTCAACACCCTGCTAAATCTACTTCCTTGTACTGTACTCATTTGTTTACACGAGTTATTGAAGTTATATGTCTGGCACCACGTTGGACCTCAAGTAAGTCTGGTTTCTCATATTTATTGTTTTATCGACTCCTGGTAAGTCATCCACCTCACACCTTAAGTTTAATTACCTACTCTTGTGGGATAAGTCAAGGAGGCATTTAGGGACTCTTGGTAGCGGTATTCACAAAGATTCGTATGTTGTTTATTTTGTCTCAAGAGTGATGCTCAAGGCTGCTAGATAGATGTCTCCTCGTCCTTACATCTCCACTTACGAGAATCTTGGTGTGTGTGTGTGTGTGTGTGTGTGCGTGTGCGTGTGCACGTGCGTGCGTGCGTGTGTGTGTGTGTGTGTGTGTGTGTGTGTGTGTGTGTGTGTGTGTGTGTGTGTGTGTGTGTGTAATGTCAGGTTTGGGTGGGAAAAGGCACTCCAGTTTATTTTACCTGATGATTAAAGTTCATTAAACAGTATAACCTTCGCTACCCAACCCTTTCCTATCCTTTACTTCCCTACCCTTGCCTTCTCTTCTCTACCCTTTTCTACCATACATTCCCTACTCTACCCTACCCTTTCCCATCCTCCCCTATTTACCCTTCCTATCCTACCATACCTTTTCCTTCCCTACACCCCCTCCAAGTCCTACCTCCCCCCGGTAGTATCAGGGTGTTTGTTGATCAGGTGAAAGAAACATGGCTGCCTAATCTTTACATGATCCGTATTTTGTCGAAACCTCCAAACAATATCAGTCTTATCATCGATATCGAAGTCCTTGCTGGAAATGGAATCACCTGGGGGCTTAATAGATATGACCAGTGTTGATAGAGGTATTGGGCCTGAATCTCACAAGGCCCAATTTGGCCATTAGAACTAGGGCCCATTGGGACTAGTAATGGTTTCTTTGGGGTGTATTTAATGCTTGGGGCCCTCTTGATCAGTTAGTTCTGTTTGCATTTGTCAACTGGATAATCTAACCTAATTTACCATGACCTAATCTACCCTGACCTAACCTACCCGGACCTAACCTACCCGGACCTAACATACCCTACACTACCCTAACCTAACCTAATCTACCCTGACCTAACCTAATCTACCCTGACCTAGCATAATCTACACTACCCTGACCTTTAAATGTATTTACCATTACAGAACAAAGTATAGGCATAGAAACACGAACACAGCGTCAACAATTCTGCTCCCGACTATACCGCCCTTCAGGATTTATTGAAGTCTCCAAAACTGGGCCACCAACAACCACGTCGCCATCAACCATACCAAGAGCATGGTTATGCGCATCAACCTCTTCTCCGACGTTGTCCCACCCCCTTCAATTACTTTAGGTCCCAACACACTCCAGGTTGTAGATTCCACTAAGCTCCTCGGCGTCACCATAGACAACAAACTAAATTGGAAACCACACGTCAGTGAAGTTGTCAAATCCTCCAGTTTCCGTCTCCACCTCCTCCGCCGACTCAAGTCCCTCGGAGTTCCTGCACCCGAGCTCCTCAGGGTTTACTCAACATTCATACTTCCCAAGCTCACCTATGCCTCCCCTACCTGGTCTTCCTCCCTAAATGCCACACAACGTAAACACCTAGAAAAAGTGCAAAAGAGGGCATGCAAGATTATTCTATCCCTTTCCTACTCCACATATCAAGAAGCGCTCAACACAGTGACCCTTTCGATTCTCACTGACCATCACCACGACCTCATCTGCAAATTTGGTAAGAAGCTTCTGCACCATCCTCGACACCGGCTCCTACTACCACCTGACATCCCTAGCCCGAGAATTGTTGTTCGACACTACAACCGCATCCAGCCCATACGTGCACGAACTGATCGCTATAAGAACAGCCCAGTCCCAACCATTGTAAAAATTATCAATAACTTGGAATAAACCAGTGTATTCACTCCCAGTAAACACTGCTCCTTACACTGTCACTATGTTGAAATGCCCTGTAGTTTGAGCTTTTCCCCATCTAGTTATTATATGTCTTATTTGCATCACTTATGTTATTTGTATATTATTTGTAATTCGTAACCCATTCCCCAATTATGTAACTGTATATTTTCAGCCTTCTGGCTGCCAAGCTCTTTCAATACACCGTTAATTATTATTATTATTATTATTATTATTATTATTATTATTACAGTAAATCAGAACATTATTACAGGTGGCATAGGCATTAATACAGATCCATACATTAGGTAGAGGCATTAATGCACATACATTGGGTAGAGGCATTAATGCACATCTATAAAATATGTAGAGGCATTAATGCACATCTATACAGTAGGTAGAAGCATTAATACACATCTATACAGTAGGTAGAGGCATTAAGGGAGATCCATACAGTAAGTAGAGGTATTAATACAGTAAGTAGAGGCATTAATAGACCCATAATACAGATGACAACAGTACACGGATTTAGTACAGCAACCCACAATGAAAGGATCTTACCGAGAGGCCGAGTAACAAAAGCTGTTAATACAATAAATCAATAACAATAACAGTGACGCAAGACGGTTAACAAAAGAAAGGTATGGGTGACGCAACCTATCATTCTGTGTGCACCAAAAACATATAAAGTGTGTACGTGTGTGAATATGTGAACGTTGTAGGTGTGTGTGTGTGTGTGTGTGTGTGAGAGTGAACGACTACTCGGAGATGATGATTGGATGCTGGTTGCTATGTGAACTGTCGTGCCAATAGACGCAAACTCAAGGCTATTTTTTATTAATTTCCTGTGTGTAATATTATTGACAAATTGAAGTGAATGCTATATTTTACACAGAAAATAATCAAATGAACTGTGTTAAGTAAAACAATAGGGAAATAACCGTTAGTGCCCAGTGTGACATGGCAAACTTTAACAACCAATCACACAAAGAGAAACCGAAAGTGGGGTGGACCTTAGATGCTAAAGTAAACAAAGGGAAAACGGCTCTAAGCCTCCCACTTAAAACCGCATCAAATTTATAATATTTACTGGTGATATGGCCATAAAAATAAATTTGAAAATACTTATAGTTTCAAAATATTTACAGAATAAACAGTCATAGAGATTAACAATATGAATATTAAAGGTGAAATAAATTACTAGCACTGTACTATACTGTATTCGTGGCGCGTCTGTGTTAATTTTTTTTCTGCTGTTTGGAAAGTTCATTTGGGTGAGTGATGCAACAACGGTTATTGTCGTCTCAGAGGTTAAAGGTTCAATAAGTAATCAAAGGCGGTGTAATTTTGGAACGCTTGTGTTTTGATGTAGCCGAAATGACTTGGTTGAACTTCCTCTCACGTCTGATTGGGGAGGAAATTTTCAACTTAGGAATCTTTGAAAACCCGTCTTTTTTATCGTAATTTAACATGAAAATGATAAAAAACATTCAACTTTTGGAATATTTGAAAATCCATCTCAGAAAAAAATTCAAACTTACGATTATTTAAAAAATCAACTTACGATCCTGTCAAAAATCACCCTACGATCCTGTCAAAAATCACCCTACGATCCTGTCAAAAATCACCCTACGATCCTGTCAAAAGTCACCCTACGAGCCTGTCAAAAGTCACCTTACGATCCTGTCAAAAATCAACATACGATCCTGTCAAAAATCAACATACGATCCTGTCAAAAATCACCCTACGATCCTGTCAAAAATCACCCTACGATCCTGTCAAAAGTCACCTTACGATCCTGTCAAAAATCACCCTACGAGCCTGTCAAAAGTCACCTTACGATCCTGTCAAAAATCAACATACGATCCTGTCAAAAATCAACATACGATCCTGTCAAAACTCATCTTTGTATCGTAGCTTAAGTGAAATAAAACGGTATATGATTATGTTCACTCGCCATCTACAGTTCAGACGAAAATAGTGAACCTTTTGAGGATCTAGGCCGAGGACTTGAACTTTGCACTGGCTGTTACAATTGAGTTTTAATAACATGTGTGTGTGTGTGTGTGTTTAGTTCATCGTTCCTTTGTATATGTCACTTGATGTCTGTGATCATTGTCTTGTGTGTGTGTTTGGATGTTTTATTATTGAGAGATCGTTATTTTATGTTTGTCCTCTCTCTCTGTAATGACGGAACAAAAAACAAAACAGAAAACCGGACACTTGTGGATAGGTGTGGATAAGTCTGACTATGGCTAACCCTGGATAGGTACGAATACCCTTGGATAATTGCAGTTACTTCCGGGTATTTGTGGTTATTTGCGGATACTTTCATATACTTGTCAATACTCGGAGACCTATAATGCCTTTTTTGCGGATATCTGCGGATACTTGCGGTTACCTGGTAGAGACAAGCCCCAGGTAGGGAGAGGGAACCAGACTGTGAAGGAAGGTCTCTCAGGAGTAGGAAGGCGTGGGGATGGGCGTGGATGTGGGCGTGGCGAGGGCGTGGGTTGACCAAGGACAAATTATAGTGCCAGATTGGGATATTCTCGCGGAGGACAAAATAATATTAACTGATTACTATTAATGTTAGTGTCATTCTTCTTCTTCTTATTATCTGTTATCGCCACCTTTACATTAACTTGAGAAACATAGTTAAGATAGGAACTCTTGTTGTGTTGTGTTATCACCCCACCAGCAGCTGTTATCTCACGTTATCTCCAGGTACTGTCTGTTAAGCGTGTTATTATCTGTACGTCCACATACCATCGATTCTTTCACGGGGAGGAGGAGGGGAGGGGAGGGGGGGTTGTGGTATAGGGGAGGGAGTGAGGGGGTGAGTGAAATAGGGGAGGGAGTAGTAAGTAAGGGGAGGGGTGTCTAAGGCTGAGGTATACAGTAGGCTTATTATTATGAATGAATGATATTTATTAATAACGTTTTTTGGCCTATATTGGA